ATACTGTATTTCGAAACATATTGTTATTAGAATAAAATATTTTATACATTACTAAACTATTATACTAATATAGTAAGATTTGTTACAGTATTGTACAAWCAACATACTGTCGTTATTATTTATTAGTCGTTAGTGGTCAGTGATCATTGATCATAATAATATTAGATTGTATGTCTGTATTCAGTATACCTAACTATCTAAGAAATGCCACGAGTAAATGCGTCGAGTTACACGTCTTACACATCTTTTAATTGTAACACTGTGTTGTATTTACTTTAAAGCTGATAATAAATTGGTAATAGACAATAGTTTACCAATAATAATGTACATTATTATTGATTGTATGCATTGCATATATCTATAAAGTACACTAAACAAAAATAAGAATAAGTAAAAAAAAAAAATTTGTAGAACCAACGAAGGCTGACTTACTAACTTTTCAACATTTATCGGTATTTTTTTCCCTTAGAAAAACTATAAAATACTACTATGTGATAATAATTAATATTATTTTATTGTTTTAATTGTATACTCTATTTTTTAAAAACTAACATATTATATTATTTATTATGGACAAAATTAAATTTTCCCAATCATCTGAAGGAATGTTTTAATCTCTTAAAGCACTCCTTCTGGACTGAAGTTTTCTCAAAAAAGGATTTTAAAATGAACACATAAGTCATAACACTCATAACCGGAGCTTGATGCATTTGAATCTTTTTTTCTAATGCCCACATCTATACAGATATTTGATTCATGAAGTATAGAATTTAATGGTACAATTTTTCTTTTTTTAGGGAATTTTATAATTTACAGTAATTTTTCAGTATTTTTGGCGCATTTTTCACATAAATTTGCATTGTTCTTATTGAAAGTTACACATGCAATTTCCATTAGCTTGTCGATTATCAATGTTCATCATCTTTTTTTTTGCCATGAAACAAGAAATTCGACGAAAAAAGAAATTTTACTAAAAGTAGTATTTTTTAATAYATAGTTTTATTTAGTTAAACAAAAAATAAATTTTAATAATTGTTGTATCATAACAATATTTATCAATTTTTACATCATTTTATGCATTTTTTATATATTTTTAGATCATCAAGTTCTGGGCCTTAGTCATATCAACACAATAGTTTGTATTTTAGATACCTAATCGATTCTGAGTGAAGCGATAAATGTATTGGTTAAGTTGGTTTTAGTTATTTTAACTTTTTTTGAGATAATTRTAGATATTTTCAATTTAAATTTGTTTTTAGTTTTTTTTCAAAAGTTGTAAAGACATTTTCGCTGTGTCATAAAGATTTAAAATTAAATAGACGGTGAGTTCAGATGTTTATATTTTAACTATAAAATTTATAAAAAATTTAAGGCACAGTTAAAAAAAAAAGTATTTTAAGTTAAAATTTGGACAAAATTAGGTATTTATACGACGTACTCGTATAACAATTTTAGTTATTTTGCTGTGATTTTGTGCTTTTTTATAATATTTTTTATGCGATAATATTTGTGGGTACTTGAAAATTTTAACGTATATAATAACTAATAAGTTATTAATTATTATATTTTAAATTCATAATACAATTTTTAAATGAAATATTTTTACTTTTATCAACTTACCGTATTACTAATAGTAAAATAAATTACAGTAATACACATATATCATAAAATATACGTTTAATAATATAGRCCGATAGATTGTCTTATATATTTTTTGTCTTTGATCACAATCGGTTTTCCATTAGTTAGATTTATATCATTCAATTTTAATCATTTAACACTTCATACATTACATGCAGTGATTATTATTGATCAATTACGATATACACTATACTGTACAACACAACGATTACTTACTGTCGCTCTTTAAGATAGGTAATTAAAGTCAGTGGCGTAGCCAGGGTTTTTTTGGAAGTTTAACCCCTCCCCCCACTATTGCTTTTTTTTCTAATAAATGTAAGTAATCTATGTAACGAAAACCGTAAACATTTTGGTTTAATTTTTATTTAATTTCCACCCCTTTCAGGGTTACTACGGATTGTTAGTTAAAAAATTTTGATTCTAATAGAAAGTTAATTTTGCATCATCACCATGCACTTTATTATATGTAGGTACGTTATAATATTTAGGTATAGTAGATTGTGGTTATATGGTTGAATTATTGTCGAAATAGTCGCTCCTGTGTTTGCTAATAAGTTATGAATAAGAAGTTCTTTTGAGGGTGGGTGCGAAGAGACTCCTCCCTCTACGCCGTACGTTAAAAAGAGCAGACACACACAATGACCATGAGGTATATACATTTTTTTTATGCAAATATTCTTGATGCAATTTTTTTCGCACACATCACTRGGGGTGTTAAATACGCGTTTTTCAGTCCATGCGAAATATTCTTATAAAGCGAAAAAATATAACTGAATATACTGTAAGCGAGGCAGCGGGTATACCTATATATCATACGATAATAATAGCAATATATGACACCCCGACACGTGTACTATACATTTATAGAACTGAGGCAGTTGCGATCTGCTGATTTAAGTGGTCATGACCTATATAGTTGCAAAGGGAATGGCAATAAACGGACTGTTTTAATTGTTTCAAATTCCGTTCGTTTTCACTATAATATGATCAACAACATTAAGTATTGTTTTAACATTCCTGTTTTATTTACTGTTAAATTATCACGGTTTTTAATATAACTTGGTGTTGATAACTTTGTATCATATCTCAATAAAAATAATAATAAAAAAAAATTGTTTGAATAAAATTAACTTATCACATAGGTATTATAATATATTATCTAAATTTAGATTCATTTTATTCTTTACGAACAATAGTAAATACACTCGTTTATCTTGATAGATGATAATAATGTGCGATATCGTCTAAATAAACTAACCTGGATGATAATAATGATAATACCTGACATTTTTTTWAATAAATATGCTAGGGTAGTATTTTACAGTATATATTTTTACTATAAAGGTAATGTGKACTTGCGAAGCTTTTTTTTTATAGAAAACTTTTTGTTACAATAATTATTTTACAAGATCTATTAAAGTTACTTAAACAATTCGACTATGTCAGAAGTTTTTCTATTTACGCGCATTGGATGGTGCAAAGAACACGGCTAAGTAACCTAACATAATATCTATATTTAAGTTATTTACATTCAAAAAAGCAGTATTTTTTAAATTCACCACATATTAAATGTACGCTCACCAGTTTCAATAATGTGCTAGTGGTTTTGATACTAAAGTGTATTGTCCTGTTAAAAAATAAGGTAGGAAATTTAAAAATGATATAATACCAATAAAAGCTTATCTTAGAGTTGAGCTCTAGATAATATTGATATTAATCTTACCTTTAAATTCTATAATAAGTACAATTCACTCTGATTTTTAAAATAATAATGCTAAACGTCATCGATGTAACGTCCTCTTAAAACATAGTTAAACGGGGTATACATTTTTCAACTTAATCTTTTGTCGGGTTTTATTATCTACAGAATGAGCGAGTTTTCAGTGAAGGGGTGGTGGGAGGGTTAACTTTTAGGGGGTCCAATTTATTTCATTGCATAACCTGCCCATTAAATCTGCCCAGTGCACACACATATTATATTATAGTATTTATAAGGCACGTTGGCAGTTGCAACCCCCCCCCCCATATCACACATACACACAAGTTCATCATCTATATACTATATATATTATATTTGTTGTGGCTAAATACACTGATATGTTTCGAACTTGGTTCTATACGCATGTGTGCTATGTCGTAGCCTACGTCACGTTGTCTGATTGTTAGAGTCGTCCTCCGCGAAACGCAAACAGGCTTACGTCATAATTACACATATACCTATATAGTAATAAATAATAACGAAAACACGCCAACGTGGACTGTACGATATTTCGTCCAGGTTGAGATCATACCAGTGTAATATTAGCCATGCATATTAGTCAGTGCACATTATAATATAATTTATTAGAATATTTTAGGTATATCATAATCACAGACGCATATTAAACTCGAGTGCGCGCTGGAAGACGGCGGCGGCGGTGGCGGCGGCAGTCCTGACACGACGGCAGCGGAGGCCGTCTGATGGCGGACGGACGGACGGGAAAACACCAGTAACGGTCTGTCGGCTGTCGCGTGAACGTCCCGACCTTATACCGTGTGTGCGTACCACCGCCACCGCACCGTCATGAATACGCGACAGTTGTCGTTGCGGCCGCCACCACCACCGCCGCCGCCACCACCACCACCGCCACCGCCACCGCGATACCGCCGCCACTGCCGCCGCCGATGCGGCACGCACTTGGTTAACGGGCGTAGAACTTTCGAGACGGATCGCCGGAAAATAATATCTTTTTCTTGCAGCGCCACTCACACTCACTCACACACGCTCACACGCACACACATAAACATACACACACACACACACACACACACACACACACATACACACACATACACACAAGATAAACGCGTATAAATAATAGTACATGTACGTAAACACTGTTTATAAATACGTATATGACAATTTATAGCGGAGACAGCAACAATATACGATTTGCACATACAATTAATGCTCTTTAAAATAACATATTACGTACATATTATATTGATATTAATTATTTTAATTTGTATTGTTGCGAGTACACGCGTCATTATTACGTTACATATAAATAATATAAATGAAAATATATTCCGAGATGGTAAATGCGCGTTTTAATAGTAATAACATGTACAATACGTTTTGTTTTTACAGGACGTGCGATTGAATTTCGGACGAAAACGGTGGACGGAACGATAACCCCAGGACCTTTGATGCGTTGGAAGATGCCGAATGTGGCGGTCGTCGCCGTCGCCGCTGCCGCTATGTTGCTGGTCACCGCGGAAACGGTGTTGACGGCCGGTAGCGGTGGTGGTGGTAGTGGTGGCGGCGGTGGCGGCGGCGGCGGTGGACGACAACGCGGCGCGGCCACCGCCGCCGCCGACCGTCAGCAGGACTTTGACAGCGGYGACGACGAGTCCCCGCGGACGCCAGCCGCCGTCCAGTGCGCCAATTGCTTTGGCCATGAGGGAATCAAGTCGCTGAGCATCGAGCTGATCAAAGCGTCGATACTGAACAAACTAGGCATGCAGCGGCCGCCAGAATTCGGTGGTCGACTGCCGCCTCGGGTGCCCACCGATCTGCCACCGCTGCAAGCTCTCATCAACAAGTACAACAACGAAAATAGTGGCTCGGTGGTGGTGCTCCCTCACATCCGGCATAAGTCACACCACCAAGACGCGAACGGTGACAGCGCTACCGATATGCAGAGCGACGAAGCGACTGGTTATTCGACCACCACGGCCGCTGCGGCCATGGACAACATCAATGGCTATAGCGGCGGCGGCGGTGACAACGACGACGACGACGACTATCATGTCAAGACGCACAAGCTGATAGCGTTCGCTCAGCCGCGTAAGTACAACTCTGAACAGTTTTTAGTCTTTAACCGCRGTGATTCACAGCGCTGTAAAACACTGTCTACGTCGAATTAGAAATTCGTCTATTTTGCGACYTTTGAAGTTATATGTCTTTCAGTGCCTTGCTGATAGCATATTATATCATGTAATGATCAGATGGTATCCCTGAACAATTAATAGGCTATCTATTAGGAGGTAGCGACCCCTTAGATTGAGAATAGGTAGTTTATAGGTGGTACACGGGTTAAAAAAATCATCCCTCCCTGCTTTCAGCCAACAACCGAAACCGAACGAGCGCGTTCTAATTCTATCGTCGTCCGACCGTATACTAAATAAAGTGACGTTCCTGTTAGAGTTACATATCTTTACGATTTTCGCTAACAGTGGTATTTCTTAACCATTCCTCGAAGTCGTGTCACGGTTATATGGTGAGTGAATCATATTGTGTTTGTAATAACGATCATATATATTCACAGTTATCTTACTGCTTTTAAATCCCGGTATATAAATAGATGTATTAGGTATAAGTGTATTACCATATAAATATACGAGTATAATATATATCATAATATTTGATATCTCATTTTTAGGTAAATCTGTGACATAGAAGCAATTTATATTTTAAACTTTTTTCCGATTTAACAGTTAATTAGAAATTTTACGATTCTGATTTGACGGGTTCAACAATACAAATAGACAATTTTATATATAATTTTCAATCATTTGACTAACTTTGTTTGTTCCATTTCTAAAAGCTCTTTAAGAATTTTTATTTTGTACAACGTTTGAACAACATTTTGATCTCTTAGTTGATATATTAATGATTATAGAGTGTAGTTTTATTTGATATAAAACTAAAAAATATGTTCATAGATAGGTAATTATTTATTTTTATCCAATATGTAATTAAAAATATTAGATATGTAAAAAAAATAAATATTTAATTAAAAACTTATGCTAAGTATATTTAAACTGTGCTTTAGTATAATTTTTATGTTAATGTTATTATATACTATTACCCATCTTATACTAGCCACGTATAATATTTGTTTTTAAGAAACATGAACGTTAAAGATTAAACAATATCTCTATACATTATATATCTAATGTAATATTATATTATAAATTAATTTACAATTTATGGGAGTGGAAAACTTATTATTACTATCTTATGGTGTTGTGGTATTTTATTACGTACATAAGGAATTATATATCGTTCATATACAACTGATATGGCATTTTCATGAATATTTTTCAAATTGTTAAGTTGATTGTTGGTTATTTATGAACACAAAATCGTTTAATTGTATTTGATAAATATTATCAATTTAAATTATACTCTGAAGATGAGTTATATATACAGTAACAGCTTTGATAAAACTAAAGAATAGGTTTAAATTTTGATTGCATACCATAAAAAATTGCATTAGTTGTTTTCGTCTTCCTACAACTACTAATTGTCCAAGTGTATTTATTCTTGTTATATCCTAGTATTATATATATATATATAGTATATATATATATAAAATTTACCGTAAACAATCGTTATCTGGGCGAAAGATTTTTTTCGATTTGAAGGGGAACCGGAGTTAAAAACAATCGTTATAAATTATTRTTTTTTAATTATTATGATAATACATTAAAATTTAAAGGGTCATACTATAATTGTCAAGTTATAATAGTTGTATACTGAAAACTCATAATAATAATAATAATAAAAAATTAAAGGAATTAAGTAGATACTCGAGTAACCCCTAGCCCCAATCACAACTGGTTATATTATAATATAAAATGTTAGGAACAAACCATTTAATAATATTATATAACTTTAATTTGGATATTTTATTAAGAATAAAAATAAAAATAAACAATTTCTGACATAGTTATGTAATATTATATTATTCAAAAATTTTGTTTGTATACATATTGTTATGAATACTTATTAAATATTTATAATAGTTAGCTTTTATACTTTATTAATTAACGGTTTCATTTGTATGAATAAAACATACTACGATTTTTGTGATTTTATGTTTCTTTTTCTACTTTCAAAGCGATACTAATAAAATATTATAACAATACGTTTTACATTATATTTATTTCATATAGTTCATGCATATTTTAAATATTAGTTCAATGTTTAATCTGATATACCTATTGCTTTTTATATGATAAACAATATTTAAATTATTTTTATTTTTAAAACGATTTGAATATAATTAAAATCGTATGGATATGTAATTAAAACTAATGAATTTGAAAATGAATTAATTGTCCATGGCACACCTATAAATTCTATCACGACATAACACAATTAAATCTAATATTTTATGCTATTTAAATTTAAAAAATCTAAAATTTATTTCACAAATTATGGTTAAAACTTAAAATGTATATACATTTTGTGTTATAATAAATTTATAGTTCATTGTTAACGATACGAAAGTAGAATCGTTGGTTGTTATAATACTTCGTGTATTAATTTATTAACTATATGGGTGGAGGAGGTCGTACGAGTAATTGACTGCTCGCTTAACTATGTTTAGGTACCTTGGTAATTTTACAGCACGTGCAACAAATTTATAAGTACCTATAACATGTCTGTGTGCTGTCTGGTTTAATACAATAAAAAAAAAAACTGTCTAAGTCAATTCCGGGATGCTCGTATTTCGTCTTAAGGGTGAAGCTCTATAATTCGCTGTCATCGGCTAGTACGAATTTTCAGGGTTGCTTAAGTAACATACACCTGTAATATAATAATAATAATACATATATAGTGCCTACTTAACAGACATACATAGTGGTTACATAATGATCGGTGCCTAAAATGTATATATATATGTATATATATATATATACATAGGTATGCTCACAATGATATCTGCGGRTGTACTATATAATATAGGGAAATTAAATATCGATCGATCTTTTGTGCAGTTTAATGCACCCGGCCTCGTTTAATGGAGGAGAAGTTTGAAAATTTTCCGTACAAGTATACGATAATGTATAGGGTACCCCCACATAATAATATGTATACTTTATGCATACATTTTATTATAATCATATCATAATTTATTTTATATCACACTTACCATATAGACAGGGTCACTGATTCTGCAAGCACGTCATACTGGAGGATACCTGTATGCCCAAGTCCCCACGAATACTCCTTAGGGGAAGATTTCGCTTAATATTATATTATGTACAATGTACATTCTTTATGGGATATTATATATTACGCTATTATATAAAGTGGTCGGCGCACAGTCTGTGTGGTATATAGTGTGACGATTCTCGATAAGTTTTGTGATTTAAACCGAAAAACGAAGTTAAAAATATTGTCCGAACATTATTCAGGTTATTGTGTGTTTTATTAATTGAATTCAATTGAAATTGACTTTTCTTCGTTCAATAGATTATTGTAGGCTAATAATTTTTTCATCTATCCGTTGAATTAATGTAGAGTTAATCTAAATGATCTAAAATGAATGATACATCGATTTTGACATTTTTTTTTATCATCATAAAAAAATAACATGATAAAATTAAAATAAAATAAAATAAATTATATTGTCGTAAGAACAGCTGTACGATTTTATTTTGTTTCTAATAAATTAATGTTACCTTTAAGCTGCGTAGATTAATTCATCATTCAAATTTTTATGTTTTATATACATTTCAGATATATTTAGTCTTTTTCAGCAAATATGTATATTTTGTTTAACATACAAATCGCATTATCGCGAATTGTGTAGAAGAATATTTCGAAATAAATGAGTACGTTCTTTTAAAAATATGAATAATCTTTTAAACAATTTTAGTGTTTGTTAAATTTTAATAGTGTGTCATCATTCAACGTAGTTATATGTGTAAAAACTATTTTTTGCTGAATCATAACATATTATTTTGTCCGTTCACAAATGAATGTGTTCACAATTTTTTATTAAGCTTATAAAGTATTACAATTTATTAATTATTGAATCAAATTAGTTAAATACAAAATATTTTATATTAAATACCATTAAACAATAGTCAGAGATATTAAAATTTTATTTTTTCAAATTTATTACTATCGTTTTTAAAAGTTTTATAGATTTTGTAAATTCTATGTAGAATTATAGAGCAAAAAATGCAATATTTTGTACGAGTATTCAATAAGTGAGACATAAAATTGTGAAAGTAAATATATTTATTTTACTAATACATAATTAAAAATAAAAATAATAAAATTGAGGATCATACTAATTGATAATGGGACATATAAACAATACGTTTGCCTATACATCTCTTTATCAACGACATTACAGTTGAGTCCTATGGACTCAAATTAATTAAAAATACAAAGCCTATATAGGCGTATAATTGTCGTACGGAATTAAGTCTTAATTCTTGATCTGGGTCTGACTTGAATATCTTCTTAAATATGCAAGGGTGATACTATATTACAGTTATTATACCTATATGATATGTAAGCACATGATAATTTTTATGTTATAACGATTTGTTTTTTTATGCCGGTGGATAGACAGCATTTTTTTAGMGGGGTGTTTCAYATCCAAAATACCGCCCTTGGCTCCTGTTTCTATGTATATATAATATTATAGTAGTATTTTAATATGCGATATCAATTTATTATGATAGGTCAACTTGTGTTTTATATGCTGCATTTGTATATTATTATTATTATTATTATTATTATTATTATTATATTGGCCTGTCGTTCAATTTTTCGCAAAAAAAACGACTAAATCTACACAATATTCCGACGCCATTGCTGCGTATTGTGCTGATCGATTAAAACGATATACGCATAACTATTATACTTTATTTTTTTATACGTAATAACATATGGATGTGTGCGTGTGCGACACGCGACGCATATATTATCATCTTTATCTTGCGCGAACCTTAGTCCGTCGGATGATTAGTTGCAGTATATAACTCGCAAATAATGCAACGTTCCCCTCTGTGGGACGCTTTGTTCGAAGGCATGTGGGTTGCACGTGTGTATGTGTGTGTTCACCACTCGTACTCATATTATAGAGTATATCGTAATAAAAATGCGACGTTTAACGTTTAAGTTTTTTCTAACGGGACGTGGATAGGCACATTACACACGCACGCGCGTACATAAAATATATAATAATAATATAAAATGTATGTAGAAAATCGAGTATTGCGTGAGGTTTTAATGCTGGAGATATAGAAGCAGATTTTAGAGAGATAGAGCGAGGAGTGAGAGAAATATTATTGTTACGGTATAGAAGGATATTGTGCATTAAATATTGTCATTATATATATGTGTATAATATAATACACTGCAGATTCTTGCGTACTTACGCCGAATACAACGCTTCGACCATAAAGTAGCTGTTCTGAGAAATGTGAATTATTATTATCTATAGCGTAATTATTATTTCCCGACAAGTCTAACCTGTTTCTTCCGTTTTTTTTTTCAATTTTTATTTCTCATTTTTTTTTTTTAACCCCATTATTATCAAACGCAAACAATAATTAATAATTATCATTCGATATATTTCATCTTTATATCTGTATCATTGTTATTATAATACTATATTAAGCAATATATAGATGCGCCACGTGCCGCAGGAATACGACGTGGGCGAATACCTATATCATTATTTGTACGTCATCGATGGACGACGTTTTCGAATTTGATCAGTGACTTCTTTCAACCGCTTCGTCGACAAAATAATGTTATTAAAATCGCGTCGTATCACACGCGTGATGGTCAATTGGCCGTGTGTGCAGCCGGTAGCATGACTGGCGGGTAGTTGGGTGGGCGACTGTGCGCGTCGCGTTGCTTTTAATACTCGACGAGGGGAAGAGAATGTGTATAATATCAAGGTCGGATGGAAACCCTACCACAGCGGTGGACGTACTATGATCGCGCACTGACCGTCGGTTTTTGGGAATATAAACTTTTGAGACGGTCCGTGGTGCATCGTTTCACAAACTCAATAATTTAATATAGAGATACTGTAAMACTTCATGATGTTACAAAGTGTTATAGGAACATGTTGTATTCAATCATAATATAAAACTGGAGCGATGAGTATAGTGTGTATTATTCACCTGCGTCCGAAGTACCAAGGCAACCCTGTTGGAGGYTTATTTAACAATATCTAACGTGGGTGTGGATTTTTGGGGAATGACGAAATGATTTTCTAAATATAGTAATAGTATAAGGGATTCAAACCCGCACCTTGCTATTTTTTTACGATATTGTTGTGTATGAAATTTTATATAATCATCTATATATATTAGATAAATTTGTGTGTTTGATATATATATATATATATATATAAATATATAAATTAGGAACAATAGACATTTTATCTTTTTACAAATATATATATTATTATGATAAAAAACATCATATCATAAATTTAAAGAACATAATATTATACATTGGTATAATTTTAATATATTGTTAATCAATAATGTTCAGTAGGTGATTGCACCTTTTTCTTCATTAGCACATTTAAACCAATTGATCTAATCCATTAATAGACTTCTGGKAGTCGATTATAAGCTTAATACCAATACCACGTTCCACAAAGGCACTATTGGGTATTGACTATAAGAGATTATTGTAGAAACATTTTTATTTAGAGAAGTAAAAATGTACAATATATACAAACAGTTATGTATAATAAAAATATATGCAGGGTCGTGCACCGCAAAAATTTTACTATTTTACACACATATCATATTATTATATTCGTMTAACAACCACATAAGTCATAATAATTTATATTACGACTGCAGTGGCGTGCCTAGATTTTTTTGGAGGCGGGGGCAGGTTAAAAAATGTTTGAAATTTTTTTTAAATTTGTAAATTTATTTTATTTATTTATTATTTTTTTGGTTGGGTGGGGGGTTCAATATCCCAACCCCCTGGATACGCCACTGTTGCACTCATTTATACGACTCCGAGTTTTGTGTGTGTATATTATTATCTATAATATAATGTACACATTAGATGATTATCGGCTATCGTCTTGTGCGCGCCGTCCACATCATATTATTACAAAATTAAAGTCGAACTGATTACATGTAATAAGATATACATGATGTTTATATATATATATATATATATATTTATGGTTTTTATATACCTAATAAATATTATACAATTTATATAATATATATTATTTTATTATATTATATATTATATATAGACGATGATTAGGCGAATTACGCCTTTTTTCTTATTATATTAGGTTTTTTTTTTCTTAATGGCACCTTGACGGGATCAGAAAGTTTGAAGAAATATTTTAGGGGTGATGTTGTATATAAACTATCAGTGCACGTGATGTGCGGTGGCGTGCGTGGGAAATTGCCGCTGGGTCCGGGGTTGATGATATGCTCGTCCCTTGAAGGCTGCCTAACGCGGTTATAATGATGGCGTTTCGATCGTAACAATAATAATAATGATAATAACAAAAATAACAACAACAGAACACTCATAATAATATAATAAACACGATTAATGGTGTAATGGTAATAATAATAATCATAATCATAATAATAATAAATACCGACCGCCACCCTTTTGTTGGGGGGTCGGTGCTTGTGCTGTACACAGATCCTACGACGCCGAAACTACGAGGCCACTATCCGCTCTACTTTACGTTCTCCGAGCAGACGAGTCAGCAACGGATCACCGAAGCGATCCTGTGGCTGTACAAGAAACGGCTGGACGTGGTCATCGACGACGCGGTGGTCATGATCGATGTGTTCAGGATCAATCCAAACACCATGCATCAGACGTTCGTGTCCAGCATAAAGGTGAGTCACGTCAGTGTGATGAGTGTAATCTAATCGAAATCAGAGTTTGTTGCTATCGATTTTCGCAGATAATCAACACATAACCTATACGATGTACAATATTACAATATTATAATATGCTCGGCGAGCTTTGTCGGTCACAATTTATAAGTTCATTATTTGTTTGTATAGCGCGTGGTCAACACCACCGAACCGGGCTGGGTGCCCATTGACCTACAGAGGCGCATGTCCGACTGGTTCAAGACCACGGACGGGACCAAGAACCTGACGTTAGTGGTGCACGCGTACTACGTGAACAAGAACACCACGCACGTCAGGACGCCTTACGTAACGGACGCCAGGAAAAGAGAAGACATGGCCGAGGTACGTTATAATTAATTTATTATTATACTCATCAGCCATATATTATACAATGTATATTATGGTATCATGGAATACCTATTATGTTGTGTTATTAACGTATAATATGATATGATTTTAATGTATAATTATTGTATAATATGGCGGACACATGACGATATGAAAAGAATCGTGAATTAATTAACAATAACCTCATCATAATCTAACGAAATTACAACTCCAGTGGTATGGTATTATATAATAATATGAGAACTACGCGCGGTTCTTTTTACACGTTATATACTAATAAACTATTATCGTAGGCCGGAGAGGAGGGGGGATTCGCCCGTGTGAAGGAAACGGTAGACTTTATTTAATTGAACATTATCAACCATAATAGAGAAACCGGTGAACTTGGACATTATTGTAACATCGCCGCATATTTATTAAGCAACGCGCATTAGAAAACTGTTGACCGGGCAATAATTCGATACACTTTGCACTCGACTACATAACATAATAAAACATACCTTACGGCGCGTATAACCCACCTGATGGTATATAATAATGTCGACTGGCTTTTATATATTATACGAAATACGAATCGCGAAAAAATAGCGTAACATTATACGCACGTCATCGTACGCGCCACAGGCATGACGGCAGTGCGAAATAAGTAATAGCCACTCACACACGCACACGAACATACGTGTGTATTTATATATATATTTTTTCTTGTGACCGTCTGTCGGTGGATTAAAGAAAGAAAAAAATCGAAAATCGAAAATGCTCGTCGAGAAGGGTATCCTAACAACATAATAATAGTAAACACATATTTTAATATTAATATTTAATAGTATAGGTACCTCCTATATAAAATGTGTAACAATAATTATAGTTGTAAATAAATATATATATATATATAAAAAGAAAACGAGTGTGTTAATCGAACAACGTAGAAGATTATATATATCAGTCGAAGTGTAACACACGTCAGAATCTCTCCTCTCTCTCTCTCACTCCCTCGCTCATTCTCTTTATCTCTCCCTCGACCCATCGTTTACGGTTTTTTTTCTCTCGAAAATTACAAAATCATTATCGTCCGTTCAACCGTCACATTCCCGCCACTCCACCTCTGCCCGCCGTCCATCGATTGTGCGCCACCGTGTCGCTCATGATTTCTTTTGATGCACCGTCGTTGTGCAGTCGGTTACCGCTGTTATAACACACCACCTACCACCACTTACACCACCTTCACAAACACCACCTACACCTGCAACGACTGCAACACCATCATAACATATATAACACCTATATATATAACATTAAATACCTCTACCGCTTGGCGTGCACAACCCGACATACACACACACGCACCACCGTACACCCCCAAAAGCAAGCATACTCGTCGTAGTCGACTCTAATCCTATTGGTCCGTAATATTGTTAGATCCCGTACTTGGAGGTGCACACACGGGAGGACCGGCGGTCCCGGGCCAGGCGGAACGCGGCTTCCGGGCTGACGTGCAACGAGACGTCCACAGAAACCCGGTGCTGTCGGTTCCCGCTGACGGTCGACTTCGAAGAGTTTGGATGGCACTGGATCATCGCGCCCAAGCGGTACGTGGCCAACTACTGTTCTGGCGCATGCGACCCGATGCTGTTCCCGAAGTACCCACACACGCACCTGGTGCAGATGACCAAGTTCGGCACGGGACCGTGCTGCGCGCCCCGCAAGATGTCCGCCATATCCATGTTGTACTACGACCCCGACTTCAACATTATCTACGGCATGTTGCCTGGCATGGTGGTGGACAGATGCGGCTGTACCTAATCGATGGCAACGCCAGTCGCTCACCTTTCGCCACCAATGTCACAT